AAAATTAAAAATAGCAATTTTAGGTTTAACCTAATTTTGTAAGAGTCTCGCAGGGAAAAGACTTTGTAGGGTAAGAAGAACTGGAATATAAGCAAGGCTGCAGGAATGTTTTAGCTGAATTGTGTATGTGCACACACACACACACACACACACACACGTGTGTGTGTGTGTGTGTGTTTATGTATGTGATTATGCCCTCATCTTTTAAATCACTTGGGGTCTTTTTGTTGCTGCTGAAGTCTCATCAAGACTCACCAACTGACTTCTTTTTTTTTTTTGGCATTCTATTCTATTGGACTGGAAATATTCTATATCTTGATCTGGATGGTAATTACACAGATACATAAAAATTCATTTGACTTCTTATTTTATCCTCATTCACCAAGCCTTACATGTATTCCTTGGGATTCAGAAATAAAACATTAGAACTATATGTTTTTAACTGAAAACATAAGGACTACTGCTATTCAGGTCTTACTTAGTAGGGTCACCCCTGAGTGCTACTCTGTATGTTTGCTAGTCATCCCAAATGACAAAGTCCCCTTTGCAAAGATGTATGTCCTGAAATGTCTGCCTGCTTTTAGTAGTTTCCAACAGGCTACAGCTCTACCCTTGCCAGGAGAGGCAAGTCTATGGATCTGTGTATTTAGTGTCAACTAAACCATTTCTCACCGAGTCGTTAAGTGGACACAAGAGAAATCCTGGGAAGAGACCACAGGTTTGAATTACTTGTGAAGTCACTGGTGTGGCTGAATGAGGACAAGGGCAGTACTGACCCTGGTGCTGTCAGCATGTGCCACATCAAGGGAAACACAGTTCTTGGTAACCATACCCTAAGCATTTGGCCAAAAAACAAATCATCACCAGGAAGACCAAGTGAATCCGAATTTCAACTAAGAAAACATGTATTCACGTTGTTCAAGAAGACATCAGCTAGAGATAGAAGAAACTTTCATGATGAGCAAATACTCCAATCCCCTGACCTCTCATTTCCACTTTTGTGTTTGTAGCATATGAGCGTTCTCCCATGAGGGCTCACCTGCTATGCTGGACTTATGTCCCAATGGGTAGTCCATAACAAGAGATTTAGAGTCCTGAGCCAGAATGTGATTCTGCTCATCAGCAGTTCCAGAACTGGGGCCAGGACTTGCCTGTGCTTCGTTATAGACCCGCTTAGCAGGTTCAGTGCATGGCTGAGTGATTAAACTCTTGACTTCATTACAGAACACACTTCCTACTCCGGTTGCTGCAAATCCTGGGAGTAGAGTTGGAGACAACCTACCTACCTGCAGTTGTATTCCACCTTGCTCACCTATCCCCAGCCCGGTTTTGCATCAGGCTATTTTACATTGTTGCCATTAAACAGGAATCAAATCTATGTCACAGGTCATTTGGGCTCATGCCCACCCCTCTGCATTCTGTCCATGGCAAAGGCAGAAGGAAAATAGGAGTGCATTTCATCTGGGCATACAACAGCCATGTTTTACAGGGCAGTTCTCTAGGATGACTGCGCAAAGCCATTATTCTCTGGAATCTACTTGCAGCTACTAACCACATATGAGGTCTGCAGTTAAATTAGCATTATAGAGGACAAAAGAATGTTAAGTGGTCTTCAGAATTAAAAGCAAGGTTTGTCAGCCTGCTTGGAGGATCAGTCGAAATGATAGCCTATCTGCAAATGTTGTTTGAAGAGGAGACATTAAAATGAAAGAGGTGAGAACCACAGGAAGCAGGGAGGCAGTCATTTCTTTTTTAATCTAAGCTTTATCCCTGGTAGAGAATCTCATTACACTGGACGTTTTGAATATTGGGTCAGAACTGATGATGAGTCTCAGGTATGTACGATGGCATTTAAACAACGATTGATTAATCACTGTACAGAATTCTTCTCCTAAATATAGGCTTTATTAAAAAAAAAAGAAGAAACTTCCATTCACATATTAATTCAGTTCAGAAGATCTGATCCACAAAAGTTAACTTGAGGCCAAAGCTTTAAAAGAAGATCTGGAAACAGGATGGCAGATTTATAAAGCTTGCCTTGCTTTGACCTCAGAATGGTAATATCTACTTTCAGGAGAGTTCAGCCTGTTCTTTTTCTGGTGTGCACATGAGCCAGCTATGAAAAATCCATGCAGGATGCATCAGGGTCCCACCTGTGTCCTTAACAGCTGCTGGTTTTATTCAGTGAACTTCAAAGTAAGTGGGCCTTTGTGAGGCTTTGGCCTTTGCTGGGAGTGGAGATGGATAGAGAACTCAGACTCTTTGCCTTCCGTGTGGGGTAACAGGCTGGTTGTGGTGCATTGCCTTCCTCCCCATTCATAATGTCACCACACCATCCACTAAACCCACACAAAGCAGCAGGAGATGGAATGGAATTGCTTCCTACTTGTAACGCTCAAGCTTTTAAAACTTTATTTTTAGCCAGATCATCTTCATCCTTTGCCTCCCGTTAAGCTTTACTCAGAAACAAAATATCCATCAGCTACTGGAAATGCTAAGAGTTGATCTTCCCCTTTGTTGGAGTGATAGCAAATCACTGCTTTAGATGCTGAGGAAAGCTAGTCCCAACCCCACCCACCCTGACGCCAGCTGTGCTCAGAGGAGAAGGAGAGATAGGACCAATGATGCTCCACTTCTAAAGTAATGACAGTGCTAACCTAACACCCTGCGCACAGTCAGGACACAAAGATTTTCCCACTTGATTATCTGGACACCAAGGGAAAATTTAACTTCTTTAAAATGTAATTGGCTGCAATATCTTTTGATTCTTCAGAAATGCTGGGTGGCAAGTGTATAAGAAACTTTCATCAATCTTGTTTGATGGTTTCACAAAAAGTCTACCTCAGAGATGGAGACACACTATGTCCTGCCACAGTGTGATGGGTGTTAGAAATAAGTCCATAATGAATACACAGAAGCAGGGGGCCTCAGGGACCTCACTTGCCAGCTGACTGTGGCTCCCCATTTCCATATAGTTCCGGGGTTTCTGCGGATATACTGCAACTTCTGATCATTAGAGATTTTCAAAACAGAACTTTCAGTTGAGGAAACGCATAATTGGTACCATTTAACATTTAGCTAAATCCACTGTGACACAGGAAAGTTCTCTAAAATTTAAAATAAAATAAGGCCATTTCCGCAGCCTCCTTCTTTCTTACCTAGTTCTTACTCTTAGTAAAAAGCAAAGAATACAGACAGGAATGAAATGCAAGCTTTCTCCTAAGATGTAAAGAGAGTCATGTCATCAACCTTATTGCATCTCACTTTTTACATACCTACCTGGTGCTGATGAAATGAGGAAAATGTACAAGGAACAGGATACAAGTCAGTTAGTTAGGTGTGGGTTCTAGCATATGTTTGACTGTGTAAAACTGAAAAATGATCTGCTTATTCCAATTATCTAATGCTTCCCTGATATGTTGATAAAGCACTTTGCAAATTCACTGTATGAGATTTATTTTCTGCTGGAGATCAGAGTAGCCATAAGAGACCACTATGTACCAGCTATTTAACAGCTTTGCAGTGTCAGGACTGTGGGAACCAGAACTTTTGTGGAACTAATTTCCCCCTCTTCTAACAGACCAGTGCCATTTCCTTGTTTCTGACCCAGAATTGTACCATCTTGAATGTTATTATCCTATTTATATCATAATCGAGTGCTAAATCAGATTTGCAAAACAGAATAAATGGCTCTAGTTGTAAAACTTGGAAATCATTCCAAATAATCACAATCCCCTTGATAATACAATTTCTGTCCTTTGTGATCACTGTTGAAAACATCTTAATGAATCATATTCATTTCTCCTCTGATGGTCTTTAAATAGCCACGCAAGATGCACTGAATCCTGTGCTCCTCCAACCCCCATGCATGGGCACAATTCTCCAGGGTGTTAAGAATTAGGTCCAAGCCTAAAGCTGGCCCATGTCTAATTCCTTGGAAGTAAGGTAGTAGGATCACAGCACAGTCATGACCATCACTTGCTGGGATGTGGTGGGGTGTGAGGATGCACTCAGTTAATCCACACACCCAGCACCCAGCATTTGCTACAAACAAGTTCCTTCTAAATTCTTCTGGGCTAAAGCAGTTGGCCTGAAGGAACACATGGGACTAAGGCTGCCACCCTGTTTCTGGTTTTTCCAGACAGCCCAGTGGGGAAAGCCATCCTTCAAGGTGCTTTTCAAGAAGATGAAATCCATTGCTACACAGACAAATCAATACAATTCACTCTAGTATGGCGTGACCACATTGTGAAATTCACCATCCACCATGACAACTTCCCAACTCTATTTTCTCAACAGAATTTCATATGAGAAGGTGTCATGCTGCCAACAATGGATAATATGCCCTCTGACATGCACCTTCGGATCTAGTGTTGTTCAGGATTTTGGCTTTTCTGTTACTTTTCCCTTCTCTAATTAACTTTTACTTAAAGAATTTCAAAGAATTTCTGGACATTTAATGATTCCCTCAACCTAAAATGACTATATAGAACTGCTTTGTGGTATACACTCTTCACGGTGCAGACTTTTAGCTAAATCAAGTAGCAAAAATAATTATGCTTAGATACTGCTAGGGTCAACTCAACTGCATATACATACATAAGTATATGTGTGTATATCTATACGTGAATGCCCACACAGAGCATCTTATTCATGTTATTGTTGGAATAAAAGAATGTAATCTGTGCCTAACTTAATCTCAAATAAAAGTCATGGCTATAAGTCATGGAGCCAAACAATTTTTGCTGTTAAAAATACACATTAATAGAGTACAAAAGCAAAAAATTTAAAAGCAAATAAGACACATGTTCTGCAAACCATTTATAAGGAAGTTTGGGCCCTGAAGGCCTATAAACTATAGATGTGGATTCCATATTAAACCATAGCTTGGATATAAGCCAAAGGAAGAAAAATTGTTGCAAGGTGCCCCTCTTCCCCTACCCCAATCCCCTAAGACAATGGTTATTATTAGAGCACGATTTTGGAATCTTGGAACTCACTTGCTATGTTCAAATGAATGAATGGGCTGGTCTTGTTTTCTCCATTCCTCTCGTTGACGGCCTGCACATAGTATGCCCCAGCATCACTGTCTGTTGTGGCAAGGATCACCAGCTGATTCTCCAGAGTGATGGCTCTGTTTCAGGGAAGCAAACACAAAGTCAAAGCCATCCCAGGAACTTCTCACTTGTAAGACAGAACTAATTTATTAAGGCAACTATACAACAATGGCTAGAGTTCTATAATCATATGAATGAACAACAAATACACACAAGCAGACTTCAGGCCCTGCTTTCTCTGTACATCAGCACCCTGTGGATAGAAGGGTATGAGCATTCCAGGTGCTCCACCCTTGAACCAACCTTGGACTGTGTGGAAGATGTTTCTGAACATATAGAGATGGCTACCACTTGAGGTCCCACTTGGAGGTCCCTCTGAGAATTCAAATGAAGGCCCCTTAAAAGAACTTTTAGAGGAGCTGCCTCTTCTTTCAGGCAAGGCTATGTGATCATGCAGTGATCTCAAACCTTCCAAGGAGACTAAAACCCGGACCCAGAGCAAATGGGTCTGTTGCAATTCTTTCTACTTCAGGCAGAGCCTCCATCCATGTCTTTACTCTGGTGGGAAGAAGAGGACACAGTGCTGACTCCTTCACCCCCAACTCTCCCATCCTCACCAATTCCATCCTCAGCTGTGCTCTCTCCATACCCTAGGAGTACAAACCAACCTGTTAGCCAATTGGTCATGACCAAGTCTTTCTCCAGTGTGCTGGTTCCAGCAGGGAAAGGACCTGAGACTCATTCTAGCTACCCCTTCTGTGAACCACAGCTGTCTGCCAAGCTTATACCCTCCCACCTTGAGATGGCAGGCTCCCAATGGCACCACAGAAAGACTCACCCTGCTACTTACTTACAAATAAGAAAGCCAATAAAGACATGGTGGGCACCAATCTAAGCCACCTTTCACTGACAGGGGCCCCTGCATGTCCTTTGCCCCTTTGTGGTTCTTTGACTAGTTAAACAGGTGAGGGAGATGTAGAACTTCTCAAAAGTAAAAATGCATCTTTGACTAAACCAGTTTTCTGGCTGGTGAACTGGGCACTGAGAATGTCCAACTGCACTTTCTGAGCACCAAGGCAACATTTAACTTGGGGTCCTGGCTCCCAAACCCAAGAGTAACAGAGTACATCTGCTTTTGTTTGTCTCTGATCCTACATAGAGCCTTTCCAGAGTCAGTTGTGCAAACTGCGTGGTTGCTCATGAGGCACTCAATATGCCAACCACCTATTCCTTCCTCTTACTTTTGGAGAGCTTTTTCAAAAACTCTTGGTTTCTATACATCATTATCTTAAGGAGTGACTTTCTCACAGTTCCCACAGGACATATTCCATTTTAGGTCTCTATGGCTAGCTTATTTCATGTCTCATTTAAAGAAATTTTCCTAGCAGGAAGTTTTCAATTTTCACCCCCATAAAATTATTTCAAAAAGAGATTTACTATACTTATTTATAGTTTCTTTATAGGTTCTTTTATAGAACCATAGAAATGGTTCCATTTTAATTTTAGTATATGTTATATTGGCACCTACATATGAATATTTACTACACACAAAGCTAAACATTTAATAGGATAACTTAAAAATGAAATATTTAACCTTTTACTATAACATCTGATTTGTATCATAGTAATTTCAAATAGCCTAATATTTCTCAAAATTAACCTTTTAAAATGCCCATTGATTCTTTACATAGCTCCAAGGGCATTGAAAATTAGAAAATACATAAAAAATTAACATTAAATTTTATATCTATGAGGGTTTTTATTTTTAAGCTTTTGTTTCTTTTTAATTTCTGTACATCTTTAAGACAAAATTCATGAAGAAAATATATCTGTTGCTAAGACATCCCCCAACTGGTAAATATTTGGAGGATATTAGTTAACTGAGAATCAAGTTATCTAAAAACTATTTTTTCCATCAAAATCTTTCTGACTGCATCTACTCTTTGAAAGGTAAAAATACAAGATACTTTCTTTAGAATTCTGCACTAAATTTTTCCCTACTATTTTTCTAATAAAGGAGTATTAATTTCTTATCAGACAAGCAATGTTCAAAAGGAATACCAAGAGCATGCTAAGTAATTATGACACCATAAGAGGAACTATTTGGGTATATTGTAACTTAAGGCCAGAGAATTCATTAAAACTTATATTGACTCTGGAAGTAAATAATAATAATGTTCACCCAGAGATTTTCATTTAACTTTATTAAATATATATGTCTCTGTGTGTGTGTTTGTATCCTTAGTCTTTATCATAATTTTATTTTAAAAATTAAGCTTTAAACTCCTAACTTCTAATATTCCATGGATCAGTCATAAAATAGAGGAAAAACCTTAGCCTACTGTGGATGAGTTGAACTGCAACTCAGGAAGCTTGTGGCCAGAGTCACAAAGTACCCGTAAGAGTAAGAGGTTACTCTGAACATAGGAAGTTTCCCAAGAGAGAAACAAATCTGTTCCTCAACAGCTGAGATTCACTGACAAAGAAAGCAGTGCAGTTTAGTAAATGATGGTTTTTGGTAGAAATTTTCTAGGGGCTTCTGGTCATTCTCTTGATTCTAACACATTAAAAACTACAGAATATTTAAATCTTAAGTACCACAATTTAGTTGTAAGCTCAAGGCAGACACCTTTGGAATTGGTAACCTGGCCTTGAGTATATAATTACTAGAACTAACATAGCTTCCAAGTAGTTGTGATTCTGGATGAGACTCTGGATAGCAGATAAGTGCAATAGCATTGGCAGTAGAGGGACATGCATAGTGAGGAGGAGAACGCTGCTGCTGTCCATTGGTTCTCAGTGGAGAAAGAACACTAACAGTAAATGAGGGCCAAGGAGTGGCTCAGTGGTAGAGCTCTTTGTCAGCATATGTGAAGCCTTAGGTCCCACGTGCTATCCCCAGCAAAACACACACACACACACACACACACACACACACACACACACACACACACACACACACACACACACACGGAGTGAGGGAAACACTTGAGAAACATGTTCCTAGGAAATTACAGACAATGGAAGTGATAAGTTGTGCTAACCAACAGAATAAATGAGTTCTCCTCAAGATAGGTCACAGTAAGTTCTGGGTAAGACACTGCAGTGTATTGTCATAATATATAGCTGGATCCCAGGAGAAAGATGCCATTGAATCTGAGAGCTGTGGCTCCTCAGTGAAGGACACACAGAACATCTTAAAGAGGGAGGACACTGGACACTGGGAAGCCCCATCAGCTCCTTGCCACAGTCATTGATGCCTTGCAAAACATTTCCATGTGGTCTATGCAGGGATCTTTGTCTATGGCAGTGTTAAGTTACTTTACTGTTATAATGGCAAGAATAAAGAAAAAATACAATAAAATTGATAAATTTGCCTCTGTTCAATTCTATATTATCACTTCTTAATTGCAGAGATAGCTAGGGGCAATTGTAGGGTGAAATTCTAAAATGGCAACTTCCATAAAATCTTTTGGGTTTGAAACTGTTCAGATAAAAGGCCTTGGTTTATCCACAATGGTCCTCAACTTTCAAGCACAAACCTGATAAATAATATGCAACTTCTAGTTTTATTAAAGGCAGGAATAAAGAAAATATCAAGGTATTCATAATCAGATTTTTCTTTGAGTATTTCTTTATGAACACACCCAAGGAAGGAGAGAGTAAATTTAGCCATTGAATAAGTATTTGTGGAGAGCCATACAGACACAGTCCAGAAAAGGCACATTGGGAAATATAGTGATCTGAACCCAGGAGGTATCTCCCAGGAAGAACAGATCCAAAGGTATGAAGAGATAAATGGCAGCTGTGTGAAGTTGTGCATGTGTGTGAAGCTTGTCTGTACATTTTGTAGAATTTAGAGCAAGACACCAGCCAAAGAGGCAGCCAACCTACTACAAAGCATGCAGGTGTGATACACTATCTTCCTAGGGACAGCTGTGCCAAATGTGAACCCTGAAGGTATATCAAGCAGGGCAGCCAGAGCAGTTCTCTAACCTGGAAGACAGCAATGGTTCAAGAGGGAGGTGACTGCCTCTGCAGGTGACATGTGAGGAAAAGTCATCTTTATTTCTATTGATCCACCTGACCGTGGAAGCATACCTAACTCTCCTGAACTTGGGCCTAACCTGAGGCATCCCTCCCTGCACACAGGAGCAGGGGCACTGCCTAAGTATCTTACAGTGGTGGACCGCACCTGGCCACATCTCTCCCCCCACCCGCACCCACTGCTGCACTCAGGTGTACATGGCTGGTTGCTAATTCAGGCAGAAAAAAGACCTGAGCTCAGGATTGTTTGTCTTCTCTAAGACTATCATCCTGAGATGCCTGGTAACCAGTGCAGAATATAGCCTGCCTTATGTTAAAATCTAACATAACAGAAAAGACACTTCCTTTTCCTATCAGAAGAAGATGATTACAGTTGACCGGAAGTTATACTATAAAACAGCCAAGACTGAGTTATTCCAATAATGCTCTGTTAACAGAGGCCATCAAAGTGAGCACACAGTATGCCCTGGATGGAACAATGGAATAGAATTCAGATTTGGCCCTAATTTCGTACTCTCCAGTTTGTCTGTAAAGGGGATACAACAATACTGACATTAAAACAGCCTTTCTAAAGCCAAGTCAGATAAGGGTGGATGAAGCTGCTCCCAGCTCTGCCCTTGGCATTGGCCAAGACTCACTGTGGTTCATCAGGTGTGGAGAATATGAACAGCAAATGACAAAGCTGCAAGTGTTACCAGCTGGCCAACTTGGGAATAACCTACTAAATGTTGTCCAGAATTTGAGTTAACAGACTTCTGTATCAACACAGCTAGGCCTTGGATTATTATTGAATGACCAAAGGCTCTAAAGACAACCTGAAACACAGCCACTTGCTGAGGAGCCAAAACACAAAGACCTGGTGCAGAGGCCTGGCACCAGCTTTCCAGGACTTGTGTTCCTGGGTCATATGCGGGGCCTACCCAGCATGTCCAGGAGGAGGTTGGAGAAAAAAGGAGGAACTAACAAGCTCACTGTGGATGTAACTGGAGAAGGATTATTTCATCAGGTATTTGGCCCAGAACAAATGTAT